GAAGGTCTCACGCCATGTCTTGTGTGTATAAAAACAATCTTGCTTTTGTTTACAGACCAAAATAATAAGCATTTTGTTTATAAAACAATTTTGAATTTCTTCAAGTCAAACTTGTTTGATTTTGATCAATACAAATAAATGTGTATTCGTTGCAAAAGTACAATCTCATTTATTTCTGTCACATGTATGAGTTGGTCATTCAATAAAAAATAATCCAACCTTCATACATGTATAAAGACTACCTGTCTATAAAGACCATTTTAATGCAGTCCTTTGGGCGGTCGCTATACACAGGTTAGACTGTGGTACAGATGATGGGTCATACCAAGGGAGGTAGGCAAAAGTGCTTGGGTTAATACAATACTAGAAATAATACATGAATATTTTCATTCTTGGATAAAATAAGTTATTTATAGTAACATTCTAGAAATGGAAAAAAACAGTACTACAAGCATTTCTGTGGTGACATGTTTTGATCGAACTCGTACATGTAGTGGTACAAGACATGGCCACTTGCTTTTTGAAAAGGTTCGAATGTAGGACGCAATTAAATATAGATATAATGGCGCAGTATCTAGTTTGTGTGTATATTTAATACAAATATTATTTTTAAATCTTTTCAAGCAGATTGCATCACTGATCCAAAACTTTTGCCTAACGTCCTTGGTCATACTGTTCAAAACATCCAGTTATTGTGAATAATTACCTACTACCAATCAGTCTTGGCAGCTAGTTGTACCTATATGTGAACAGTTGATTTGAGAGTATCAAGTGTACGTGATATGTTGTTTGATTGTGCAATAACGAGAAAATGATGAATAATTATAATGCGTTTAGACGAAAATACCACATGGCATAGAAACCTGCAAATGGTCTACTAAAGTGTTGGAGTTGTCGCATACTAACATGTTCATTATGTACTCATATGCAAATTACAATGTGTTCTCTAAACAAATATTGTTTATTAAAATGATATTTGAATTTGTGCTGCTAATAGCGGTGCTTTAATTTAATTACCATTCACATATTATTTGTCTGCTGCAATATCATAATTCATGGAAATATCAAACTATCATTGATAAAAATATGTTTTGGATATTAAAAATTCAAAAGATGTACACCTGTATTATGTATATATCATGATATTCTACTTTCTATATAGGTTACATCTCAAAGATATGGGTTTCCTGGGCATTCACATGCGATGGTTAATATGGTTATTTGCCGGTCTTGGCATCATCTACAATTACACATTCTATGAGAAGTAAGTCTAGAACTCATGTGTTTATTACATGTCTTCAGTACTGCAGCAAAATTAGAATTGGGATATTGGATTGGCTTGCCACTTGTATAGACAATTAATTGTAATGTAGTGAACACTTTTTTATCTGTACTTGGTTAACTGGTTGATGTGCCTCCCAGCAGGAAGGCTGGCCTCTTTTTGTCAGGTCAGTAATTTTCCAGATTGAGATGGAAGTGCTTGTAGTCAGTTAGCAGTACACTATGTTGTCAACCACCTACTGTAAAGGGGGTAATTATTCATTGGGTTTCAATTTTGCTTTTTTCGCTGACTGAAAAATGCTAAATTGAAACCCAGTGAATATGTAAAATTGAGCATAGAACACGTTATCTAAATGATAAAACCGTGAATTTAAAACCTACTGTATATGCCTGAAATGGTAAATCAGCAAAATTTAAACCCAGTGAAAATTAGTCATTTTACAGTATTGAGTCAATGTGAAGCTACTTACAAGATTGTACCTGATTGGCTACCCAACCCTAACACCTAACAGTCGGACCAATCAGAGAGCAGCTAGTTTGTTGAGGATATTTTATGTTTCATTGTAAAGTAAACTACGTGTATGGCTTTACTTAAGAAGATAAAAAGAGGAAAAAAATTTGCAATAAGTGAACTCAATTTATGCGTATAAAATTTTAGACTGACAATAGTTACCTAAAGAATCTTCTCTGCAAAAAACAACGAGAAATCTCCATCAGTTATATTTATCAACATTCTAATAAACTTGTTTGGGTGTAAATTAAAGACGCTTCTTTCTGGATTTCAATCTGGGGCACCCAAACATGTGACCCTCCTGTGATATACCCGGTACATCGATTGATATATTATTTGACCCAAGTATGAAGAAAAACGGTACAATAAATGAATGGTCAAGAAAACAGTTTAAATCAAACCAAAAATAGACAAAGCTAGAAATAAAATAAATAAATGGCAAGCACTTTCTTAAGAATTGATAACTTGTAAATGTTGTCGTCATAAATTGCTGATTCAGCTTCAAATTTAGTGCAAGCTTGTACAATCTATTTTCACATGTCATGAATACTCTGAAATGCAAAGTACCAGGTTAGCTTTAGATGTTGCCGCTGAACGATTGATGAGGTTTCCATAGTGACTGAGGTTGACATTGATAATTTCGCATGGAATATGTTCCCCTTGACAGAAATAAAATGGATATTGAGTTATAGCCTGCCACTAGAGGGCGATCAGGTTGGATGTTGTGTGACATTATTCTTTATGAACCAGATATATCTTTTGCGGCCCGAGGTCGGGCGGCAGGAGCACCCAAGCTTGCGAGGGTGTATTAGCAGTACGATCGAGAACAGCAAAAGCTGTATTTAGTCCATAAAGTTGTTATCATACACCTTATAGGTGTACACACGATGTAATTTAGAATGGTGCTTTTTGTTGTGATTGATGAAAGCCAGGTGCACTGGGCTGGGCGTGATATGGGAAATTATTGCTCTGATGTGAGGGTGCACTTCTCATAACGTAAACAAGACTGGGCAATACAAAGTGTATGATAATACTAATAGTATTTTTTCCATTTTAGATACAAAAAACTTGAGACTGTGTTATATCTACTAATGGGTACATGTCCTGCTCTTTCACTGCTTACCATGGTGAGTAACCAAAACTATGGTATACTCAGACAATTAATTTTGTTTCAAATTCAACTGTTTCTACACTTTGGTGTTGTTGATCGGTGATCTGTTGTGAAACCCAAGGAAGTTTTACCTGCCCTGAAAGCATCAGCAAAATTATTTCAATGCCACAAAAGTTCTATAATACATCTGCCTCATCAGTAGGGTAAAACTAACCTGTCTCACGACGGTCTAATCCCAGCTCACGTTCCCTGTTGGTGGGTGAACAATCCAACGCTTGTTTCAGTGACATCAATTTAGCACTATATTTGTTAGTTTGATACTGTCAAATCTTGTATCTCAATTTATGTGTTTATTATCAACAGACTTCATCACATGAAGGGCTTCATGAAGTAGCCACTGGTGGTATGATCTACATCGTGGGAGTGATATTCTTCAAAAGTGATGGTCGTATACCGTTCGCTCATGCTATCTGGCATCTGTTTGTTGTAGCAGGTGCATTCTTTCACTTTTATGCCATCGCAGCGTACTTGATAGGAGAAGACAAAGAATAAATGGTTAATCTTCACTTGCTCATTTTCAGTCACTGACAAGACCTTGTGAGATCTCACCAGACTTGGTGAGATCTCGCGTGACCTGACAAGATCTCACATAAGGCATGGTTTTACATGATCTTTGCATCTGACTGGAAATGACATTTTGAGGCGAACTTGTTCAGTGTTTGTTGGGGGGGGGGGGGGGGGTCATATACTCTCTTTTTTTTAAATAGCACTAGCACAAATGTTTACACATGTAATGGAAATTCCATGGTCAACATTATATGAAATAAATTATCTTTATAAAACATTCTTTCCCTTGAATGCCATAATTTTTCTCATACAAATTTTGATGGAGCATTTTGCATATTTCTTTTGGTTATTTCTTTCATAATTTGTAACCACTGATCAAATTTTCTTTTGGGTACGGGTCTCAATCAAAATTTTACAAAAAAAAAGGTGCAAATGGTAATTTACAGGTTTATATTTTGAAAGATGCTAATGGTTGGCATTCAAGAGGGAAACAATGTTTGTAATACTGCCAGAATATAACAGGGTACTCATTCATGTCATTAGTAGTAGTAGTAGACAAACAATTATACTCAGAAACATTAACATTTATCGTTCTGGTTTCATACATTTTCTGTTTCCCTAAATTATTGCTATTTCCTAATCATGCTGCCAGTGTTGGCATCAAACTAATTCAATGAACAAGTCTCTTAAACAAGTGAACCAATATACCAATAATAAGAAAGATTTTTTTCAAAGCATTGTGTTTAGTTATAAATTCATCTAAAAATTCAAATTATAAAGTCTTATTGAAAATTCACTTGCAACTATATTTTTTTCTTATCTTATTTAATATTTATTTTTATATGCATAGTGAGACTATGTTACATAAGGCAAAAGCAGTCTATGAGGGAATACCTAGTTTACAGATAACAGACAACTAGTTACCTGAATAACTGATTGTTTACCAATCATTGTTGTCTGGCCCATCTTGGCGATGTCATTAGATTGTACAAAACGATGCAACTGAAGAGAGATGCTGTCTCATGAATTGCTTTTGTAAAATAAATTGTAAAATATTTATTGAGTGGGTATATTTAATACAAATGTTGTTGACAGGGGCCAATGTATTCAGTGTCTACATGATGTATTTTCCCAGTATACCTTGTACACGCTTTGCTTAGTTTACATTTTGTCCTGGTGTTGCAATGAGCCAATCTACTCTTGGAATAATTCTCAGCAATTTTTTGTGAGTATATATATATAATAAATTAAAAAAGACGAATGTTATAATTTGTTTTAAATTTTTAAATATCAGAATATTTTATTTTCACTCCTTTTAGTGAACTATTCGTAATACTGTAGATTGCTTTATTTTAACTCTGAATTTGTTTGGTTGTTGGGTAAATCAGCTAAAATAAAGCAATCTACAATTTTGAAGGTTGATTACTTTTCAATGTTTTGCTTTGAAAGTATTGTGTAATTTGCCAAATATATGTATCTTATTCACGGTCACATGGGAAATGGGGAAATTAAAATATTTTCAGAATCACTATTTTACTGGAGTGATCAGTGAGGTCAAACACCGTCCCTCAACGGTGGGTTAAAGTTTCATTTACATCAAGAAAATCTGTAAAACATCAAAACACAAAATTTGTTTTAAAAAATTTTAAACTTTTGTATCTTTTGTCAACCTTTCAACACATTTCATTCTGAGAGAACTGGATGTTCTTGTCCTTTAGACGGACAGACGGACAGACAGACAGACAGACAGACAGACAGACAGACAAACAGACATATCTACAATGTAATTGACATTGAAGGACCAACAAAGCCCCACTAACTCAGTGAGTGTTTACAAATCTAACTTATTTTAAAAAAGGGTGCTTAATAATTTTAAGCTAATTTTTCCATTACCCATCCACAATATCAATATTTTGTAGTGTATATACTGGTTAGGCGATGATACATCACAGATTTGGCAAATACTGCTTAACATTATCATACTTACATTATTTATAAGACAGTAAATAGAGATTATTTTGATGAATGTTTGAAAACTTAAATATTTTGTACTTGATGAATATTGATTTATTGACGATGGTTTCTATCGAAGGATTTACATTTTGTGTGTATAATGCCCAGTGACTGATTGCAAAAACTGAAGATACCTTTTACTACTGTTGTTACTGGTATACATGTTCTAGTTAATAAAGCAACTTACAGGTACAGGCAATACTGTCACAGGCAGATTGAGAGCTGATTCATGCACAATATTGATTATCAGATAAGCTGGTTGGCACAAAAAGTTGACAAACTAGATTTTCGTTTGTTCGAATAATTCAACTGTCAACCAATTAAAGTACAAGAATTTGTAATTTTCTCTGTAACAACTGGCCTCCTTAAACTAAGACAGTAATTATGTATGCATTTCAGCATATACAGTTAAAAATTCTCAAGACAGATTTCTATTTTCGTCATATTTATCATCACACACACATATCTTGCCATGTGCTGGTTCTTAAACAGGACCATTTATCAAGTTAACTTTTAACTCTTATTTCTAATATTCATGAATTTACCATACTCGCAATCTGCTTTTTCAAATGCATTGAAATTATTGCTAGTTTTTTGAGCAAATTTGTAAAAAGTTGTAATTATATTATTATTCGGTACTACTTAATGTTACATAGTAACTGGATGTCTTATTGTTGCCATGGTATTTTACAATATTTGTCCAAGGATTCATGATTACAATGATTTTTTCAAAGGTTTATTACTTAAAGGGCAGTGGTGTTCGTGCCATGCATGTGCGATGTTTATTTGGATAAATGGTTATTTTTCCACATGCTCTCACAGTGGCAAGCATCAATTCAAGTTTTGATCGGCCACAATGTACACTAACTACCAATTTTAACTCCTTTGATGTGTTCCACCAATCATCCCAGGAATTGCCTGTTAATATATTGGTAGTGTCTAAAACAAATTTGCCATGGGACCTAAATCTCGCACATGCAATGACAACTACCCCGTTACCCTTTAATGAGTTATTTGAACAATATCAATATATAGTATGATGACATCATCAGGAATTGATTCTGTGCTTGACATCCACACTTTCAAGGGATGATCTGAACCGAGAGATAGAAATGGTTGCAAAATTTATATGATCAAAAATCCACAATATTTAAATTTAACCAAGATTAACCAAGAGTCAAATGTTTCCTGTAATAGTCGAAAGTTTCCAGCTATATGTCGCTCTCCCTTGTAGAGTCTTTGAGCTTATGACCTGACCTAGGGAGCCACAAATAGATGGGAGTTTTCTGGTGACTACCTAGCTTAGTGATAAAAGACCCATAGTCTCTGCAAAGGAGAATGGCTATATGAATGACCTCAACATACAAATTTAAATTCACTCACATATATGTGCATTATGTGAATGACTTTACTGTAGGTATTAACAATTTTCACCCACAATGCACCTGACTTTTCTTTTATACTTTCATCAATGTTATTGTGTGTTCAGTTATAAGTACTGTAAAATACTTTATTTTAGCTGGAATTAATTTTCGCTGAAAAGAATTTTTTGGTGTTTGTAAAATATGGGGAAGAAAAGTATATTCGCTGGATTTTATTTTCACTAAATCATTCCTTCAGCGAAAATGGCGAAAATTAATTCCAAGCCAAATAATTTATTTTACAGTAAGTCATTGTATCAACCCTTTCACTACCCAGACATGTTTCCCGCCCAAATGAATGGCACAACTTTTTTTTACAAATTCTGTAATTTTCATGAGTTATGGGGATAATTTTCGATCAAAGAAAACTAAATTTCTTACAATTTGTATTCAAAATGTTGAGAGGAATTGAACACAATAATTGATAAAATGGATTATTGGATGGTACTGGAACATTGGTGGTGAAAGGACTTTTTAGCTGTGAGTTTGAACTTGTTGCTTCCATTTCTAATTACTGGATATTAATGATGTAAATAAGCAAATAATGTACATAATTTATGCAGATTTAATTATTTTCTATTTAAATTGTATGACCATTCACTGATATATTACACAGTGATTGGTCTAACCTAAAAAGGATTCTCATGTTAGGTGTTGCTGATTAATATGGTTTATGTTTTAATTTGTTGTATTTGCCAAGTATTGGATTATTGAGTTTAAAGCGAGGGAGTCGTCACCTGCGCATGGGTCTGATGGCCATAGTGTGTCATTGTTTACAAACAAGCGTCTGCCCATGAAACTATGCGTTTTTAGTATGTGTTGTTATCGTCGCTTGGGACTCAATTCCTGCACGTGCACAGGTTACGACTCTCCCGCTTTAATACCTACTATATTACCTACGACAGCATATCATGATCAAATTTACCATCCTGGATTTGTTCACTACGCACAGTATAAAACTGCCATGTGTATCAAAAATTTTAATAATAAATTCATAAAAAAAATATTCAGTGGGTCATATGAACGACCCCAAAAGGTCACGCATCCTGGTACGACAAATTTCATATCAATGAGACTTTCTAAATATTTTCTGTAACCTGTTTTCAATGAAGTTCAAAAATTGATTAACATGCCAAAAATTGCAATGATGTCACTGAAAATGTCAGGATTTAAAACCTGCATGTGTTACACATAAGGTCTATTGGAACTGTTCAAAAAGTAAGATCAATTTCACAATATACTGAGGATGATTTGAGATAAATCTTTGCAACTGTTTTACCATCAAGTTAGCATCATAATTAATCCTATGGTTATATACTTCCTGCCTTATCTAACCATTTTTTATACTACAGAACTGTTGTTCTTTGCCTTACTGTGACAGTCATTCCTAATTAATTTCACACCCGTCTCCTACCGGGACCCGTTCAACACTTTCACTCATTTTAATTAATGTCTCTGTTTACTATGATTTATTGTACAATCATTATTAAACTATAACACTTTGACACTACAACTGATGTCTTAATTACTGTAAAATACTTTGGAATTAATTTTTGCTGTATATACTTTTTGGGCGTTTTGTTTGGAATTTATTTTCACTGATTTTTGTCGATCAGTGCATGACATTCATTCATTCTCAACATTTCATTTGATCAACGCATTCCTTTCTTGATCAATTTTCAATTATGCTAAATAATGCAACATAATACTGTACATGGGTAGTTCAACATTTATGTACAATAATATACTTGTTCTTAAATGTTATCTTTTTCTGAATATCATGCTAACAATGTGTTGCTAACTTCATGTTTGTGTATTAGTTGCAAAGAACTGAATCAAGAGTTACTGTAAACACATTCATTATTCACTGTTATTAAATAATTTAATTTCGCTGTTTCACTGATAAGGGAAATTTGCTTAATTCAATTGACATGAACATGTACAATAATAATTTTCCCTGCCAAGTTTGTGAACTTGAAACTCAGTAAAATTGCTCAAAACTTTAAAATAGTGAAAATAAATGATTTTACAGTACTGAGAAATAGCCGTTCACTGATTTGTATACATAGAACAGTGCCATGGACAAATTCAATAAATTTATCACATCGTTGAATGCCTTGTAAATTTGTCTATCAAAGATATAGGCTGAATTTTTCAAAATTGTATATGTTTTAAATATTTAATTGATAATTGTTATTGTGTTAGATTGCTGTATTTCATCAATTCTCATTATCTTGAAGACAACGTCTGTGATTTTTGCAATGTTTCCACGTAATGTTGTTGGCATAAAAGACATTTACAAACTCGGCCACCGACCTTTGAAGATGTAATTCATTGGGCGTACATACATTGGTAGACAAAGTGTATAATGTTTGATTGTTATATTCCCTTTATTTTTAAAATCACTTTCCAGTAAAACAAGGAACATTTCAAATTGTAGAACACGGAATGTGGTGATTCCATTTGGCATGATTCGACGTGCTGTGTTCGAGATAGTGAGAATCCAAGGCGTGTAAAACTGCATGTTCATTGGTCAATGTTTTTTTTTTTATTATATGGAAATGAGGTTGATACAACAAGAATACTCATTGGCTGATTGGCAGATTAATAGTGGTGTTATAAAATTATTTGGTAGAAAACAAAAAGATAAACATCAGGCTATTATTCCATACTTTTAACGAAAGTTTTTAATTCAAATAATTTCTGCACGTTTTCTCTGAAATTGTACAAAACAACTACGAACAGCGAAAGTCAGTTGGACTGACACGTTAAGCATTGAGTGTTATTGTTACTTTGACAATTGATGAAATTAGTTTCATAATTTACATTATACAGGAGCTATATAATGTCATGTTTGTTGTAATTATTGTGTGATTAGAGTTATTTAATTTTAAATTTTGTATAACAATTTGTTGAAGGAATAAAAGCTAGTGTGGATCTCAAGTTTGTAGACTACATTACTATGGTAACCATGGCACCTCCCCCTAAAGAAAATACTGTAAACTGAAAAATGCGCTAAATCAAAACCCAGTGAATTTGTAAAATTTAGCATAGAACACTATCTAAATGATAAAACCGTGAATTTAAATCCACTGAATATGCCTGAAATGGTAAATCAGTTAAGCTTAAACCCAATGAAAATTAGTCATTTTACAGTAGTCAGACTGGAAAAATGTTAGTTGACTAATACAATTATATCTGGAGAACAAAATGCTTGTTCTTTTATAATTAGTCAGTCATTGATCAACAAATTACCCCTGAAATGAAACTGATGAGATGTATGCAGCTAGTGAACAGCGCCCACTTGAGGATAATATGTTGGAATCTTTTGTTTTTGTCTCATTGCATTTTGCCATTCATGTTTTAAAAACTTTTTCCGTAATACGAAGTGTTATTTAAAAATGTGGCCATTATATTGCAAATCATGTTTTTATTGGCTAGAATAATGACCAGTGTTTTTTTTAAACTGAAACTTATAATGACCATTATTTTTATACTGGTCAGAATAAATGCAATTTTTTTTCGCGGATAGTTGATAAAACATTTTAATGGGTAGTATAGTGGTCATTTTATTTTTCATTACATAAATAAAATGGCCAATTTTATTCATGTCACAGATATAATGGCACACAGGAATTGACAGCTTCCTCTTTCTCGGTTTCCTTTCCCACTTCAGTACAGGATTTTGAACAATTTGTGGAATTTTATATGTTTACAAAAATATCAAGTTTTGGGTAAATTTGTTTGTTAAAAATGCAGACATTTACAAATAACCACAGATTGTACATTTAATCTTATTGATTTAATATTATACTGTGGTACAATAGGTTATTAAACTATACATCATAGAAGGTGACATACATTATTACATCATACTTAAAGGCCTTTGCAAGGTACTGTGGGTAGGAAATAATTCTATTGTCTGTGATTAGTGCATTTTGAATTGTTTTTTTGTTGTTTTTCAGTGAAGTACTAAAAATCCATATTTAAAGATTAGTAATGTTGAAGAAGGGTTTCTGTGAATCTAAAATCAACAAAGATCTTTCCTTTGTTTATTTAGTGAATTTAAAACAATAATAAATGGAAACAAGATAATGAAACATATGCAAATGTACATGCTGAATCTGACCTGATCCAGAGCCATAGCACAAACTAACTAAGTGTGTGCAAATGCTTCACTCAAGCTATGCACCCAAAATACAATCTTTAACAGTTGATATGAAGATCTTTTTCCATCTCTGATGCATGTTATTTGTTTTCTCCCTCATCGATATTATTGCACATTTCACAGTCTTCAGAGTGCTCTACAAAGTGATGAGGAGTAAGATTGAAAGTTAATTCAGACGTTGCTAAGACGCGCACCACTGTACCATGCATTTCTATGGGCTCTGTGCGCGCTGCTGTGGAACGCCAGTCGAGCCGGTGAAAATTCGAGAAAACAACACAAACTCAACTTTGAAGTAATCCTAAACAACCAAATTTATATATATTACACACGTAGGGCTAATCTTGTTACACTGTTCAGAGGAGTCTCAACAGTCATCCCAAAGTACCGTTTTCTGCGAGCTTTGGGCCTTTGTTTTCACCGCCGCGGGTTGCCAGGCGGTGAAAATGCCCGGATGTCCGCCCCCAAGGATAGCCCTCTATGGCCACAGTCGCACAGGTTGAGTCTGGCAGGAAGGGCGTCCTTGTATGTCAACGGTTATTTTATCCAAAGCACCTGTAAATTGAGTCCACAAGCAGGTATCTTGTTAAAATTTCACACATAACATACCAATAAGTTTAAACTGGTATTCTTGAACGAATACAAATTTACAGATAAATTTTCAATTTTCTGAAATTATATTTCCCACCACTACCCCACTTTTAAAAGTAAGGTATATAACCCTAACGAGTGAAAAATATTCTCACCATAGTTTGAAAAACACAAAGAAATTGTAGTATAAAACACATTTATTTGGATGTGCAAAAATTAATAATTTTAACATCACAGCATAAAAATATAATAAAGTTACAATAAATAAAATTTACCAAGAAAAAATCTTATGTACAATTTAAAAAGTCAGATTATTTAAAAAAAAAACATCACAACTATATCCAGAATACTGAATCATTTTAATATGATGTATATATGTTGCCTGTATCACACTGGTTTAAATATAAGGTAACTACTACCCAACAATGAGGTAGTTTCAGCTGCCATCGCATACCTGATTTTCCTTCAGGATTCCAATTGTTTCTTCCCCTAATTTCCCTTCAAAATTCCAAATTTGAACTAAATAAGACAGAATATGATGCTGCTTTAAAGATTTTAGTAAACAATGTTGTTCTACAGCTGGATGAATGCTGGCAATGATGATGATGAAAGCATAAAATGCACACCAGGTTGTCCTGGCAACACCAAAAAAGGTGCAATTGGTATGCTGATGAAAAAGAAATATGCACAAAATACATTTTTGTACTATGCATAAATTTTCACAGAACAGCAACAAGAAATATCAGTATTCATAAAAAAATGGCTTTCATGCAAGTCCCATGTATAAATATTATATACAAGTCAATAGAAAGTCCATATATGGTCATTCACTAATTAGCATAAACCAAATATACTCTTCCCACTTATATGTGAGCAAATAATAAATAAAATAAATTAATGCTGTAAATAATTCTTTAAAAAGTACTAGTGAAATCACAGACCATATTAACCATATAAATATAAATTTGAAATAATATTGGCATATTTCTAAATATGTTTTTATATAACAAACATGCACAACACCATATACAGAACATCATTTACATAATCCAATTACACACACTTTATATGGAACCTCATTTGTGTAATACAACTAAACACCATATATGGAACTAATTTACATGTCATTAACATAGTAAGATAAATATACCATATATTAGCTAATATTAGTGGGAACTAATATCACATAAAGTACACTGCCATGAAAAATACCACATAGGTACCACAAATACCACAAAGTAAAGATTCTTACACTTCAGTGGTATATCATTCATAATTAATCATCCTGAATATAGAATGTCATATGTATATCATATACTGTAAAAGACTTTATTTTTCCTTGGAATTAATTTTCGCTATTTTCGCTGAAGGAATGATTCAGTGTAAATAAAATCTCGCGAATATACCCATTTTCCTATATTTTACATTCAACTTGTCAAAAATCAGTGAAAATAAATTCCATACAAAACACCAAAAATATCTTTTCAGCAAAAATTAATTCCAGTTAAAATAAAATATTTCACAGTATAAAAATTTATTCCATGTCATCAGACAGAAAAGTGTCAAAATAAATGCCTTAGGTATATGGAAAAGTATACAATGCAGTTTTGAGAAATATTATTTAATAGCAAAGATAAATATAAGACTTTGGCATACAGTCTTAGTATTAAATCATATTCGATACTTTGTAACCATGGCAACAAGCAAGAGAATACAATATTACATCACCATGAAGTCCAAATGCGTAGAAGGAATGCTTGTTACCAAAATATTTAACATATAATTTATATATGAAATATATAATTTATTCAAGTTCATTAGAATACGATTTGGAGCGAAACGTATAGATGATATGCATTCCTATCACATTTATAAAACGTTCAAGTACTTCCTGTTAGCACCAGAGCTTAGATACGAGAACTAGAATAGGAGGGATTGTCTGTAATAAATGTTTAAAAAAAAACGAAAAAAACATTTGTTTATGGTTCAGAGATGTTCTTAAAAAATAGTGTAGTGATGCAATTTTTTTTTCACTTTTAGCAGAAAAATAATGAGCAGCTCTTTTTGAACTGACATGCACGATGAAAAGAAACAAATAAACTATTTTTGTTGGCTTTATTACAAAGTGGCATTAGAGGTTTTAGATATTTCAGGCTTCATGTTTGGAATTAACACGTAGTTGATGCAGTTATCTTGGCTGCCATGGAAACATCAGACTTTGCAACCATGAATCGTAATCTTGGACCTGCATTTCTTATCAACTGCATGGCACTGCAAGGAAAACACAACAAAATCATTAGGTTGATTCCTACATTTAAGATCTATACAAATAATAATTTCCTCACACACATTTTAAATATCATTTTTCAATAATTTTGAACCAAATATGAACAAAAAATATGTAAGCTTATTTTGTGGAAGATGATTTTGATGTTCTTGATGCTTTCAACATTTGCCGCCCTCTACAGTTCACTTTATACAAATGAGGGCGCTCTACATGATGATTTCACCAGTGGACACATGCAATTCAGGAGATCCTAAAATGGAATTATCAATTCATCTAAGTGTATGTACAGCGTTGTATGGTAAATTTATGTAAATTCATCTTTCATTTCATATTTCATCTTATTTGTACTAGTTTTTCATGAAATGTTATTGCTACATGCTGATAGAAATTTATATTTTTAAAGATGCAATTACCGGTACTATTATATTATATCATCACTGTTCCAAATTTAATAGAAGTGACAACCATTAAAACACTGTAATACAAAATAATACACTTAGGGAGTTAACTGTTAAAAATTCCTGAAAGAGGACAAGGCAGAAAAAAATCATTTTTTCTCAGAGCAATGCTTTCATGAAATTTATTTTATACTTTGTTGTTGATTAATTTATCCGTTTTTTTTTGTGTGCCGTCATCCCACCCTACAAAACAAGCATGCCCTAATAAACTTAAATGAATGTTAAATGAAAACGATTTAAGGTAGAGATGCAGGTTTGGGGGCACTTGGGAGTGATTTTTTTTTTTTTTGCTTTTTATTATCCAAAAAGTCTTGGCTATAGACTGTTGAAATTTTGTAGATTTGTGAAGAGTGGAACATACTCAAAAAACGATTTTAAAATATAGATAACAGGTGCAAACATTCTCTCTTTTGAATGCTTAGCAAGATTTAGCAAGGCTGTACATAAATAATAAAAAAGAAACATGGTGAAAAAAAGAAATGATGGGATCTCTATATTATGCACTGTATTTAACTTTTTACAAAATGATAATACCGGTACATTTAAATTTGAAACTTTAACAGCCATTTTAATTATGAGCATTAGCAAACTTCTTACTGAGTGAATTGTTATGCAAATTAGCAATTATCTCAGCTTCTTTTAGTGCACATTCCAGAACTTTAAAAAAAAAAAGCTCCTAGACGCTTTGACCATTTTCACA